GTGGCTGGAGAACCGGGGACTGTAGATAACGTTGCTGCATCGGGACTGCGGCTGCTCTGCGCTCCTCTGACTGACTGATCTCCGGTTTCCAGGCAAAAGAAGGACGTCCTTGTTTCTGCTCTTCAGAGAGAGAGAGAGAGTGTGTGTGTGCGTGTGTGTGCGTGTGTGTGTGTGTGTGTGTGTGTGTGTGGGAGAACTGCAGCTGATCATACACAGCTACGGGAGACCCGTGTTTAACATGTGCTGCTGCGTCAGTGTGTTTGCTGGGTCATTATGGGCTGTATGTGCTGGGTTATTCTGAGCTGTATGTGTTGGGTCATTCTGGGCTGCGTGTCACCTTTATTCGCCCTTGAGGACGCTGAACGCTGAACTGTGCCGCCACTGCTGAAGAGTTTCAGGATAATTGTGTTTGGATACAGCCAGAGAAACTATTGTGAAAACATTTTCATCATATATACAACACACACACACACACACACACACACACACACACACACACACACACACACAGAATCATCATTACAGGCTGTAATTACAGTGAGCTCGAGCACACACACACTAATGATTGTGCATCTGCGACCCGTGAAGGACAGTAAAGGTCAGTGTCGGTTACCGGCGGGCTGCTCGGTGCTGCGGGGCTTTAACCTTCACCGGAGAAACACCGCGTAATTTTACCGCGAGCCTGAAGGTGATCTGCGTGTCTGTCCTGCAGAACGGCTGCGTTACCGGAGCACCACCAGAGAAACGCGTTTGAAGATCATTCTGACCGGGGGATTACCGACTGAACGCGGGAACACTAAGATGCGGTTCGCGACGCGTCCGTCAATCTGAGCGGAAACTTCTGCGTCTGATCGGGTAACCGGAGTGTGTGTGTGTGTGTGTGATGCAAGAGTCCGGCTTAATCTGAGAGTCTCCTCGCGTCTAAAATCAGCTGCTTTACGGAGTATTCCCGTTATTACCGAAACACGAGTCTCTGCCCCTTACCGAGGCGGATTCAGCACAGGCACCGGCGGACAGCTCCGTTCATCCCGAACACACACACACACACACACACACACACACACACACACACACACACACACACACACACACACACACACACACACACACCGTGGATAATTACCTGCTGTGCGGCTTCAGTGGCTGGAGAACCGGGGACTGTAGATAACGTTGCTGCATCGGGACTGCGGCTGCTCTGCGCTCCTCTGACTGACTGATCTCCGGTTTCCAGGCAAAAGAAGGACGTCCTTGTTTCTGCTCTTCAGAGAGAGAGAGAGAGTGTGTGTGTGCGTGTGTGTGCGTGTGTGTGTGTGTGTGTGTGTGTGTGTGGGAGAACTGCAGCTGATCATACACAGCTACGGGAGACCCGTGTTTAACATGTGCTGCTGCGTCAGTGTGTTTGCTGGGTCATTATGGGCTGTATGTGCTGGGTTATTCTGAGCTGTATGTGTTGGGTCATTCTGGGCTGCGTGTCACCTTTATTCGCCCTTGAGGACGCTGAACGCTGAACTGTGCCGCCACTGCTGAAGAGTTTCAGGATAATTGTGTTTGGATACAGCCAGAGAAACTATTGTGAAAACATTTTCATCATATATACAACACACACACACACACACACACACACACACACACACACACACACACACACACAGTGTGTTCTGTAGATAAAGCTCTTGAGTGGGCTGATGGCACTGATGATATTGAGCTCTTGGATCTTTATTAGAGTGGTTGATATGTTCTTGGCTCGTTATATGTTAAGCAACACCTCTCTGACCTCTGTTAATAGTGTGTTTACACCCGCAGTGTGTGGGTACCTCATTTTCTTAAAGTATTCTTCAGCTTGTTTTTATGATGTGCTGTGGTTTCGGAGCGGTCCTCCTTCAGGCCTCCCCATCAGCAGAACAGGAACTCTTGAGCAATATTAGCGCTGGGACTGATGTAGATTGTGTGGACAAAAGGAATTTAATTTTATTACTTTTGTGTCTTTATTTTATTGGAAAAATGTTGAGTCTAACAAAAATTGTAATAAATCTTTATCTTTTGTATGAGACCCTTTACTGACCAGGCACACTTCCTCTGTTGTACTGTGCTGCATATATTTTAGAGGAACTGCTGACCAGTGGGAAATAGCAGAATGAGAATACATGTAGTGCGGGGACCTGTTCCAGACTGCTGTTTAATACTAAAGTCTAGACATGTCACAAGGAGCATGGTGCTTGTAGAAGTTATGAAATGTATTAAAGATGCAGGTAATTGTTCAGTTCTGGTAAGCAGAGAAGGGTTGCAGAAAGAGGAAGTATGTCTGGGGTACAAGAGCCAAAGGACTGCAGGATGACTGATAAGTGACGTTACACCAAAACTCCTCCTGTTAATATCAGTTGTGTATATTTGCTGGAGTCAGGGAAATGTATGTTATTGTGAACCTCTTGAATGTAATTCTTGTATTGTGTTGGGGCAACATAACCCAGAGCTCTGTCATCCAATTATTCATTTGTATCTAATGAATTACTAATACTTTTGGCATTGAAGAAAACCCTCTCCAGACCTTTTCTTATTGAACACACATGAAATTGGCTTGATATTCCAACAACTGTCAAAACAATGCTTTGTCATCACAGTCAGGCCAGAATACAGAGTCATTGGCCATCACTGGAGGAAGAGTTCATTCAGATTTTCATTCATTTATGACGGCTGATCTGTACCTGTGTTCTCCTCATGTGTTCTCACTCAGACACAGACAGCGGCGTCTCTGTGGAGCGTTTCAGTTGTTCATGATAGCTGAGGACTAATAGCGAAGCTTCATCCAGAATAGCAGGTTACGGTGGAGTGTGGCCGCGGCGCTGCCGTCTGTGTCTGACGAGAGAAGAAAGAAAACCGCTTTGTTTATCTCATCTTGTTTGTGCGCGCAAACAAAAGACATCGAGTGTTCAGTAGGCGGACGTGATCTAGAAATGTACGAGCGCAAGTCATGAGATAATGAAGGCGACGTCTGTTGACACCCCAAATATCCCAGTGTCCCGCAGCCTGATGTGCAGGGCTGAAGTGTGTTACAGCAGCAGAATCCACAACACACACACACACACACACACACACACACACACACGCACACGCACACACACCCAAATCACCTTTACACCCCGACCGTCCCTCCGCACTTCTGCTCCGCTATACTTTATTCCTCTCCATATTCAAAGGCAGACATTTGTGCTGATGCCAGAGGAGAACTGATCCGCATATGTGGGAGTGAAGGCTGGTAATAACCTGGATTACAGCCCGCCGTGGGTGTCGGATTCCCTGGGAATTTTGAAGTTGACATTTTGAGCGTTTTCGCCTCCCACCGCGCCGTTACAAACACAAAGAAGGAGAACTGAGGCTCAATCAGCCGTCGCCCACACCAGACACTGCAGACGGCCCGATGCAGCGCTTTCTGAGCGGCGGAGATGAAGTTTGCTGCTGTTTTTCAGCAACAGCTGTGCTTCTGCTTTGTTTTTAATGTATTAATGAATGCTGCATCCTGAATCCGCTCCTTAAATTAGAGATTGGTTCTCCACATCTGTGTTTATCTGCGCTGGCTCCGTCTCCTCACTTCAGCATAAACACATTAACATGTAAAACGGCCTGCGGGCTCAATCCAGCAGCGTTATGCACACAGCCGTCACACTTGAGCATCATTTGATTTGGTGTCTCTATTTGTCCTGATATTGCCTGCTGGAAATGTAGACATCTTCTGAAAATACTAAAGTCTCCATCAGATGAAGATGAAGATGATGATGGTGTTTCCCACAGTGGCAGATCAGCTGTTTAATCTGAATATGCAGCACTCATCTCTCAGGCAGCGCTAAGCAGCAGCTTCTGTTTCATCTCACAGGCCAGATAATGGAAAGTGTCTTGTATTATTCAGTAAACAACAGGAGCAGCTCTGACTCTGGTGTCCTTCATCATCATCACGCAGCTCTAGTGTTTTCATCTTGTTAATCACAGCACAGGCGATTAAGAGAACAGCCTGTACTTTACATCGCTGTTAACAAAAATCCCAGGCTAATTTCTCGACTGTAAAAGCGAAACGCCCACACATCGTATTTTCCAGCAGGTAGCGCGTCTCCGGCTTCAAAGAGCAGCAGAGGAACAGAGCGAGGCAGAAGACAAAAGTGTTTACTGAAGTAATGGATGTTCTGACTCATCTTCCCCCAGAACCGGCTCTGATCTGCGCACCTCTCACATAAAACACACTAATTCTGAGCAGATTTTACGCAGTATTAGAGGCTGCTGAATGCTAGATCGTGACCGCAGGGATGATTCTCTGTGTTAAATGGGTAATGCAGCACGCGAATGAAGAAATGCATCATGGGTAAACATGCGGTCAGACAGAGGCCTGCTAATAAAGACGAAGATCAAACTCTCCGGCACAGGAAGCCAGAATTAACGTCGGTGTTGTTGTGGATGTTATTTCCTGTGTGGGTGAGCAGACATGATCAGACTCTGTTATTGATCTTCTGATCTTCACTCTCATTAGCACTGATGTAGTCAGCGGCCCTTAAACATTAATCAGGTGTGATGTGAGACTCTGTGCTGAAGGCCAGAAATAATGACTAGACATCAATCATCTCTGGTCATTGTGTAAGATGTGAGAGTGTTAAATAGTCTAATAATGAGAGATCTTGTGCCGATTACAGCCTGAGGTCAGTGTGAAATCTGTAGTAAACCATCCTGTGATGATGATGATGATGATGATGATGGTCTACTGGACTCTTCAGATGGACAGTGCTTGTGACTCGATCTGTCCGAGAACTCACTCCACACCACTACTGCCAACATTCAGTGAAGTGCAAATAATATTGATAATGCCCATCACACCAATCAATCAATCAATAAGAGCAGTTAAACCCTCCCCGTGGACAGGCCTGTACTACTGTAGCTCCGTGACTGATGAACTGCTGTCTTATAATTGATTTATATAATTTATTTATTTATGCCCTACATAAAGAAATGACTGTATAAGATGAGCAAAATCTCTAAAGGACAGGTCTGTACGTGTCCGCGTGTGTCCATGTGTGTGCTCCTGTTAAGATGATCAGCATCGCAGCCTGTTTGAGTTAACACCATCATCAGAACAGAAGAGCAGGACTCATGGTGTTTCAGATCTGTGTTTTCCCTCAGCGTCAGCAGATCTGTCCTCTCGCCCGTCTAGCAGAACTGTGCTGTACTGTATGGAGAATATGAGAGTTCTGCTGGAGTCCTGACTTACTAAAAGTGCAGCGTCAGCATGAGGTGTAGATGTTCTTCTGGGGTTCCTCTCTACTGTTCTCTGACCAGCGCAGAAGATCATCTGAGGAAGAGCAGCAGATCAGCCGACTCTATGATCATTCTCCACACAGGAGATGGAATTAAATCTGCTGGTGTGAATTAGACAGGGGCCGGCTGACCCGCTCACGGTGGTGTCACATTAATTATCTTTCCTAGAAGAGGGAAAACGTGAAGACGAGCCGAGCGAGAGACCTGAATCATCCAGCGCAGACAGGGAGAAAGTTAATTGTGTTCAGAAATTATTTGAGGCGTAATGAATAGTTTATACAGTTCTGGAGCTGCCGGTGGCCGGAGCCAGCAAACGATGACGAGACGCCATGAAAGAGCAGATCCGTCAGTATGAGGGACACACTGCCCTTCTGCACTAACATCGCTTTAGATCAAAACACACGGCTACAAGAGGAAACTGTAGAAGAGGCAGATCTACACGCCTGCAGTACACACTAATGACACACACACACACACACACACACACACACACACACACACACGCACACATGCCAATCCCCCGCTGATCAATGTGTGTTTAACCTCCAGCTGGTCAGAAAGATCAATGCAGACGGCAGACAAATGAAGAAGAGATGTGGTGTTGGCGGCAGCAGCGGCGCTGGATAAACAGGTCTGGCATGAAGTCAGAGCAGTTCAGTTCAGTTCAGTCACTCATTAGTGTTCAGTCGTGATGCTGTCTGCAGATACAGGCCCTTCAGCAGCACATGGAGATATGACACCAGCATTCCTGAAATGAACTGTGCGCGTATGTGTGTGTGTGTGTGTGTGTGTGTTTCTGACAGACCAAGGCTGATCTCTGAACCACAGTACAGCTTCAGGGTCATCACAGAGTAAGGGGACGCGAGGGGCTCCTGCTCCCTAATGAGGGCACGAAGCTCACAGTGTCCAGTCTGACACACACACACACACTGTTCATCACTCTCTGTTCATCCTTTTACACACACACACACACACACACACACACACACACACACACACACACACACACACACACACACACACACACACACAGTGGCTGAGACACATTGTGCTCTCTCAGGGCTGTGTTTTAGTCTCTCAGCAGGGAAACTCCTGTAGTTTCTG